ATGTTGATTAGTGCCTGTATACATATTCTATTATTAATGATATGTCAGGTTAGTTTAGAGAGGAGTATAATGGATGTCAATCAGTGAGGGAGTTGCTGAAGAAATTCTAACACTCACAAATTATAGTGTTGGGTGTAAGTAAAGTAATAGTGTAGCCTCGGTGAAATTTGATTCCTGTTTGTGTTGATGTATCGACATGCATTCCTGTGTATTGTGAGCACAGGTGTTTACAGTTTAATGTAGTCTTTTGTAGTAGATATTGGTATGATCTTCCAGTCTACTGTATTAGCTTCTTATCTGTCCTTAATGCATGTACAGTGTAGTCTCCCACACTACCTGTCCTTAATACTGTTGTCTTGAGGTTTCCTTGGGTAGTTTTTTTTTACCAATCGGAACATTTATAGCGAATGAGATTAGTGCTATGAATGAGTGCTGGCTAGTGGCTAACATGAAGGCAGGATTGCTGTGGTAGAGAGAGAGCTAACGATGCCTTGTGTTGACACCCAAGCACTGATTATAATAATTACACAGCATGCATTATATACAAAGATAGTTCATGAATATTTATGAGTTCTCATGTGATGTCATGATGAGTCAGCTCACTACACATTATTATGTACTTATCTTAGGTTGTATAAGATTAAATTGTATTGCTTTTTTGTAGAGATTGTGTTTTACTAGTTCTTGAGTAACATTTCATGCTGGTGTGTGTACGATGTGTGTGTTTATAATTACATAGATATTAGAGACTACATAATATCTATGGTAATTAGATTTATGTGTACCGTTACTCCTACTAGTTGCTAAATTGAGTTAAAGTATTAGCTATCATAACTTCCTTGAATTACATTATAGTAAGTGCGGCAGTTCTTTCTTTCCAGATCATTCACAGTTGATTGCTCTTCCTTCCTCTTCTTTTTTTCTTATTGTCTATTGTCATTCATCATCTTTCACATTTAACTTTCTTCATTTTTTATTTGCATAGATCTACTCTTTCTTGAAATGGCAACCAAACCATCTCTATCTGGTATCCTCGAGGACCAGCTCACCTGTCCTGTGTGCCTTGAGCGCTATACCAACCCAAAGATCCTACCCTGCCATCACTCATTTTGTGAGCACTGTCTGGAGGGATTACCTCTGGATAAGAAGAATGAGACCTATTACCTCTCTTGTCCCACTTGTCGTCAGCAAACAGAGTTACCAGAAGAAGGAGTAGGAGCCTTTCCTGCAGCATTCACTCTCAACAACTTTAAAGATATGCACAGTTTAATAAAAAAGGTCCCCAAGTGTCATCATAAAAAGCCTCTCGAGCTCTTCTGTGCAACATGTGATGCAGTAATCTGTTCCATCTGCTTAGTTCATGATCACAATCATCATAATATTGAGTTGATTAATGACAGTTATGCTAAACACTGTCAAGAGTTAGAAGAATGTCTGTCACCACTTGAGGAAAGGAAGGAAGCACTCAAGAAAGTTATATCTTCTCTAACAGAGAGAGAGGGTGACATCAGACAGAGAGGACAAGGAGTCTTAGAAGAAATACATAAAATGGTAGAGGAAATGATGAATGCTCTTCATCAGTCAGAGAGAAAACTGACTGAGCAGGTAAAGAGGGTCACTGATGCTAAAGTAAAGGTGCTGTCAGAGCAGATCAAAGCAGCAGAAAAGTGTTTGAGTCTTCTGGAGGAAGTTGAGGATGATGTACAACAAAGGCTAAAGACAGGGAGTCCTCAACAAGTACTGGGCTCTAAGAAACAGATGAAGGAGCGTATGAGTGAAGTTACTGCAGGGATCAATGTGGAGGAGTTAAAGCCAAAAGAAAAACCTGATTTTGCATTGAGCAAAGACATCAAATCGTTACATCACATAGGAGATATTGTGACCTACTCATCTACTGCACTACAGCAGTGCAGAGTGAAGAAAGTTGGCTCCTTTCAACGCTTTCCGAAACTGGAAACATTTTCATTTTCACTATCAATAGAGGCATCAGATTCATCTCTTTTGTCTGTTCCCCTCTCTTCTCTCAAGTGTAGTCTAGTACTAGTTGGTAAAGGTGATCAACCCATTCACACTACAGTTACTACCAGCACTGATCCTGGAGTGTATAGGATACAGTGTAGCCCTTCAACCAGTGGTACTCATATACTGAAAGTACAAGTATATGATGTACAACTTAAGGATACCTCACTAGTCATCCCTTTCAATCCTTACCTTGATAACATTACTCCAGTACACACTATACCAGAAATTAATCATCCTTGGGGAGTTGTTGCAAGTGATAGTCATGTCATAGTAACTGAGTTTGATGGTAAATGTGTAACAATGCTGGATAGAGAAGGAAAGAAAGTGAAATCATTGGAAGGAAGCGGCAATGCTAAGCCTCGTGGTTTAGCCATCACTGCAGATAAATTCATTCTTTTGTCCGATAAAGACGAAATTCAAAAGATAGACATGGGTGGATGCCATATAGCATCAGTTGGTGGCAGGGGCGCTGAACCACTACAGTTTCATTTTCCAGCTGGTATAG